TTTCCGGGGTCACGAATCTCAGCCGGGCCAAAAATTTATCTGTATCTCTACCATTTCACCGCCCCCAAAATCCCTCTAATCCAGATTAGTTCTGCGGGCACGCGGTGGCCGGCTTCAAGAAGTTGACTGTTTTCCGGGTTGATTACAGTGATAGCTGGAACTTTGCTCAGGGTTTTAATGAATCATCAAGCTCAAAAAAAATCGGTTCTATCACCTGTTCTATCAGTTTAAAAAATAATGTTTCAAGTATGGTATGGCTAAAGTCGAATGATTTTGGTCTAATAAATATTTTCAGTATTGCTGACATATAAAATGAGATTCGAGAACATTAATCGATTGTAAAACAAATTTCGCGAATTATATTTCAGGATGTCATATATAAAAGCTCATGCTCATGCTCAAATTAAAAAACATTAAATTCTTAAATTGATCTTTATCATAATCATTAATTAAAGCATAGCAAAATAGCAAAAACGGGATCAGAAGGCACGGAAATGCAAGTAAGCGATTGATTCAATTTAAAAAAATAGACAATTAAAGTAAGCTCTAAATGAGACAGCGATTATAAGGAAAAAATATTCCTGCGGTATGCTTAATTTTGAAACTCACAAAATTTGGCTGAAAAAAGGACTAAAACTTATTTTTACAATAGTTTTTGAATGCTAGCTGACACCATAAATTTGCTTTCCGTTAAATATGGCCGAGGATGGGAGCGTATCGGGTATCGGAGCGTAGCCCCCGGGGCGAAAATAGATAGCAAAATTCGCGGACCACCCGAGGGCTGGGAGAAAGATACTTTTTGACCGGCCGCCGAAAACAAGGGAAACAATGGATGAGTTGAGTGGGGGTGTCTCAACGTTTTTTGCGCGAAAATGTTTCACCAAAATTACCAAGTAACTCGTGAAATATATCTCTAATATTTATCTGAAATAACTAAAAAAATTCTAATCTCCAAACACCATAGTTATTAGCGTATTCCTACTGTATAGATATGTTTAGCAGTCTGCAAAAAAATATCCTTCACTATCTTTAGATTTTTACTTGTCTTAAATTACGTTTAAACCAAGATATGGTTCTTTGCCATTATCGGGGGTGTATTGTGGAACGGGAAACCAATTTCTACTCGAATTACCAAATTTTCTATCAGAAATAGAAGATGTAATTCTAAACAATTTTTCTACTACGCTTAAACGCAAAAGGGTTGTAAAATTCCATCAAAAAACCAAAAATATAAATTTTTCGACAAATTTCTAGCTTTTAAAAAGTTTTGAATAGCTTTTCACTTAAAATATAGTAACTTAGAATTAAAAACATTGCTAAAATAGCTACTAAAACGGGACCAGGTAGTAATCAAGCAAAAAACTGAAAGTACACCGATGAAGTATTACAAAAAACGTGTTTCACCAAAATTAGCTGATGTCTTGAAAAATATACCTTTCGATTTTACCAACAAAATTGCCTTAAAAATCTTTCAATCCACAAAAACTTCCATCATCTATCAATTAATTCATTACTAAAGCGAAATTTTTGGTCTTGAGAACGTCTTGATTTAATTCAATGTATTCACTTTATTTGTAAGCCAGAACAGAAGTCCTCCCAATGCCAATGAAAAAATTTTGCGGCCTTTAAAAAGCATTGAAACATTTTTTTTCGTAAGAGTCGCCGAAGCGTCTGGTGCCACGCCAAAAGGGATGAAAAGTAATATTCCGGGTGGGCGGCCGGGTACAAAAATGCTTATCAAAAAGCGATCGAGGGGGTGGAAAGCGTGTGTTTTGCGGTTGGGGGGCAAAAATAGGCCTGGAGGGGGAGGAAGGAATTGAAAGGTTTAGGCCGAAATGATTCTAATAGGACCCTGAATATTTTAGATAAAAAATTGTACTTTAAAAATACTCACAACAAATTCAAAAATTCCTGTCCAATGAAATGTCTAGAACCAATAAAAATTTGGAATTTTTCGGAATAGAGAAATGTTCCAAAAATTTTCGAAGCTATCTTCAGTTTTCTATGGGGAATCGATCATCGATTTCCAATAAAATAATATAAATAATCTCAAATTGTTCAAAAAAAAATTTAAAGATGTTATATTTTGAGAAGGGGATTTAAAATTTTAAGTTAGCAAGGATAAACTACGGCTTACGGTACTTTCGCATTATCGGGGGGCAATTTTTTCCCTTTTGGCTCCGTTCTTATAAAACAAACAGCGAAAGTGTTACCAGACTGTCTTTTACTAGTCAAAAACGTCAAAAACTTTTCCAATTCTCACGAAAAAATGTAAATATTTTCCGCCAAAAATTCACTTTTTCAAAATTTATAATTTAAATACAAGTTACAAAAACAAACTATTTTTAACTAATGAATAATATAACTTCTAACCGTGTAGAAAAAGGTACTCCAAGCCTTTCTAGGCCGAACTGCCAAACCGGATCGATTCCATAATCTAGTTCCAGTAAATTTTTATTTTTTAAATTTAGCTGAAACACATTTTTCTAAAAAAAATTTCGGCGCAAAAATACGGCGAGAAATTGGATTTTGACGAAACACATTTTTTTTGACAATTTTTTTGACTGACAAAAATTTAGGCGTAAATATAGAACTTCTTTCTCACCTCGTTCCCCCAAAAAGCTCCTCAATGCTGCCATTAAAGGTGCAGTGGTCGAGATCAAGCTGCGGCATTTTCACTACAGTATAGCTGGCGGCTAGCAGATTACGGTAGCCAGGGCACCGGATAGCAACGAAATGAACAGCTGACCGTTTTGCCGTGTTTACACTGGCGATTTTTGTATAGGAAATTAGTGGGGAGGTGGCGGGGATTGTCGCTGCGGGACCCAATCAAAAAAGGACAAATTGAGCGTGACGAGCTAACGGTGCATGCAGCCGGGTCGGGGGAGGGCTCCGTTTAACTACTCCCTCCACACCCCCATGGTCCCAAAAATCAAAATCCAAACTTGTAGGTAATAATGGGGTTTTTGCGGCAACACAGTTCGACGTTAGGAGTTCAGATTCCAGATCTATGAGCCCCTCGAGGTATCTATGGTGTCGGCAGGGGCTACGGAATTGCCTTCAAAGGTCCTTTAAAGTTAAAATGACTTTACGATAACGTATGGTGTTTGATTTGGCTTGAAAAACTATACCCCTTTGCCATTCAGGAGCTACCTTGAGGTTGCTTTCCTCCTGCCTTGCGACGCGACCCCCACCTGGCTCACTATGGCGACAGAAGCTCGGGGACTCCCTCACGGAACAGAATAGCCGCGACTGGTAGGCACGGCGCTTGCGCTAGCCGTGCACGGCCCGTGCGCTAGCCGCGAACGGCGCGCGCGCGTGACGGAGCCGTGGACTAGCCGTGGACTAGCCGTGGACTAGCCGTGGAGTAGCCGTGCGCGCGCCGTGCACGGCTAGCGCCAGGCCCGGTGGCTGAGTGGCCGTTCGGGCGCCGCGCGCGCGCCGTGCGGGGGCCGCGCACGGGCCGTGCACGGCCTTGTCACGGCTAACGTCGATAGTAAAAAACGTGCAGCCCGCGCACTCTGACAATTATTTCTTATTTCCGACTTTATTTCTTCGCGTCTAGCCTATGTTGTTGTAGCCGTAAGGGTTTTAAAATGATATTATCAGTTATTTTGCTTTTCCATTGACTTTCCAAAACCAAAAAAGTTGTTTTACTTTTGCTAGTTTTTTGATAAAAAGTCATTGGAATACTAGAAAAGTTTTTTAGCTAGGCAAGAAAAATGCGGATAAAGCTGTCTCTCCGCCACTAAAAGTTCAACAGTAAGTTGCATGTTTTTTTCGTCTATATTTGTGTTTTTTTAGGTCGCTGCGCAATGCTTCGTCTGTTGCGGCTGCGACGAATCAATTTGAAGCCGATGGTGGTAATTTAGTACCAGATTTTCTTAAATATATTTCCAATCAAAGCAGCCAATCGACGACTTACTGCTGAAAAATGCAGTCACAAAGCCGCCACCAGCAGAAGGAGAGGAAAAGAAAAAGAAGAAAGAGACTAACCGAGCAAAAGCGCGTGTCTACAGGAGCAAGGGTCGAACTACAGGTACCGAGTGTTCTTGATTTGTTTTTCCAGGTCTGGAAGGCAGCTCGGATGAGGATGGACCGCCCGAACCCAAGCGGGAGAAGGAAGAGCCTGTCCCAACTCCGCGGCTCCGAAGCCAAAGCCAGCTCCACCTCCGAAGCCCGTCGAGAAGCCAAGGCCGATCAACATGTCGAACGCGTTTAGGGACGCGCTCAGCGCGCCGAAGATGGAACAGGTGAAAAAGAGGGTAAGTTTTGGTACGTTGACTTCTGACGTTAATTTTAGCCGAAGCGCATCGTCAAGCCCACGGAGTCCACTGGCAGTCAACGAAGAAGCTCCGCCGCGCGAAAAGCAAACAAGCCCATCAAAGTTGGAGATTAATTTGGTAAGGTTCATTTTTTAGTCTAGAATCTTGTTTTAAGGTGGTCTTTTCTCGGAAGTGAATCCGCCTTCCAGATCTGCATCCGAAAAATCGGGTACACGCGCGAATAATAGGACGCCTGAGCCTGTGGCCGAAGACGAGCCAGCACCACCACCACCGGTAAGAGTTTGCTTTTTGTGTTTTATGTTTTGTTTAGGCCGTCGCAAAAAGGCGCTTCCATTTTGCCGATGATTCTGGCAAGCCTCGCGTCGAAATTCGCGAGTTCGAGATTGACGAGAATGAGCGATGTGAGTTTTTTCTTCTTGGAAGTATATCTATTTTTTTTAGACAGTACCCTTGAGTTTTGTCATAGTCGAGTATTGGTGCCTTTGACTTTATTTTGCCACAAAAGCGTAAAAAACGGGATATATGTAAACGCAGCTTAGACCCAAGCTTAGTTTGGCTTAACTTAGGCTTAGACCTAGCTTGAATGAACCAAAACTCAAGCTTTAGCTTTGCTCTCACATAAGCTTTGCGCTTAAAAAAACGTAGTTGGTAGCCTCACGTAGTCAAAAGTGTATGCAGCTTGGCTTCAGTAGTTTTTTAGCCCTTCCTAAATAGAAAAAACGCTTAATCTATGGTTTTTATTTAGGTAACTGAATGGCGGCTGCATCTTTCCGGGAGGAATACGAAAGCCGACGAGAAGCATGTTGCGAAAAAAGGTACATAATTCTGAGTGTCATTCATTTTATTTGTAGGCGCTTCAAAACGGACTGTCGCAACTTCATTCGAGGAAACCAGAAGCCTGACCGCGAGCTGACCCCGAAAATCGACAGAAAACAAGAACTCCCCACCCTCTTACCCGGCCAGGGTCAAATTTAGGAATTTGGAGCCGTCAAGGTAGTTTTTAGAAAATTAAATTAGCTTCTTCTTAACTTAACGTAGGCTAAAGTTTAGATAATGAACATAGGTACGTTGCTTTTGTAAAATTATATTTAAAGTATTATAATGAAAAATTGACTTATAACTGACCTTGGCCACCCACTCCCATTCCTTCATGTGTTGTATAATTATATGGTAATCCGTTTCTTTTTATTGTGATGATTTGTATGTTCGTTTGCTTGTGATTTCCTTCTATCTGTCCAGATTGTTGACTTATTGATTTTGTTGCATGTTTTCTTTCTGTCGAATAAATATTATATGAAAGTACTATCATTGCAGAACTAATCAAGAATACACAATACAAATTTAAAAAGCAAAAAGGACGAATATTAATAGTAAAAAGCCGTGAACCACGCGTCCACGGGCCGTGCGGCAGCCGTGCACGGGCCGTGCGCTAGCCGTGCGCGCGCCGCGAAATTTAGCGCGCGCCGTGCAAAAGCCGTGCGCGCGCCGTGCGGAGGCCGCGCATGCGCCGGTACCGGCGCATGCGCGGCTTCCGCACGGCGCGTGCACGGCTTCCACGGCGCGTCGCGGCTATTCTGTTCCGTGCTGTCCTCGTCGGTTCTACCGAACAACTTTGAGGTTAGTATCTAACCCGGAATCCTCTATTCGTAGAGGTTCGTAAATTTTGGAAAGCGGCCCATTTGAGCCGCACCAATCGGAAGTTTTAACTACGCCTTTTTGATTTTGGAAACCGTGTATTATACTATTGATTTTTGCATAATTTTTACTTAGCCCAATACAGCGCAGCTCTCCTTTTAATTTGAAAACTAAAAACATCGAGTTGGTAGAGGAAAGCGGGTATTGTGCGTTTTTCGCCTGTTTCTTTACATAAGTTTAAAAACTTAATTTTACTGACTTGATTCAACCATTGGACCCACTAAAATGCTTGCTTTAAATAGCCTGCAGGTCGAATCCACCACGCTTCAAAAGATTTCTACCGAGAAGGACAGCCCGGCACAAAATGATGTTTCGAGAAATCATCGGTAAAAAGGACAAAACACTGTGTTATTGCACAATATGCCGGCGCTATTCTAAATCTACTAAAATTGGACGAATTTTAAGAGCAAAAACATCCGTAAAAATGGTATACTTTCCCGCTATCCGATCCTTAAATTCCCAATTCTGAACTCTGAAGTGGAGCATCCATTTGTCCTTTTCTCTACAAAAATAGTGTACTGTTTTTGTTGTTTGTTATGCCGAGGTGATGGGGGCGTCAGAATTTTTAGTATAATTACCCCCACGACACATGCCGCGGATTCCAGGGGGGTGTTGAGCTGTGATGCGTGTGTGTACGTACAGGGTCGTACAGTCGCGCGCGTGGCGGAAAAGCCCCGACTAATTGGTGGTGCGGTTTTTGGCGCCTTTTGGAGGAGAGCGAGAGAGATAGAGAGAGAGAGAGAGCGAGAGAGAGAGAGAAGGAGAGAGAGAGCGAGAGAAAGAGAGACAGAGGGAGTCCTAATCGGCGTAATACTAAACGCCAGAATACTACACGAACCAATAACAATTTTCAAACTTTGTTATTCGAAACGATACAAAGTATCAAGCAATAAAGATACTTTAACTTCTAGCAAACGTACTTAAAATCTCGGCCAGAAAATGTCCGATTAAAAATCGAGAAAAGCGGATCCCGGAAAATGGAGCTCGGCTTGGGGTCGACCGGCTGGTTTGGGTATGCAAATGTGGGGCAATGGAGAGAGAGATAGAGTGAGAGAGAGAGAGAGAGGGAGAGAGAGGTTGAGAGAGAGAGAGAGAGAAGGAGGGAGAGAAAGAGAAAGAAAGAGGCAGAGAAAAAGAATGTTCGCCCAGCCGGTATCCTCTCGCGCTCAAAGCCGGCTGCCATCAACCCCCTCCCACACCCAAGCTAACGGACAAATTTCTGGATTTAACGAGAATTTCTACACTTAATTTGAGGATTTTTGCTTTGAAAAACCTTAAAAATAACGTTAGGAATCAGAATAGCTTTAAAAATTAATATAAACGAAAAAGTGTCATTGCAAAATCTACATACTAAGCTTTTTAAATGGGCGCTAAAAATATGCTACATGACGTTTAAATTAAGACTATTTAAATAAATAATTAAATGAAAGCGTTGAATCATCTTATATTTTACTAATGATATTAGAAAGATGAAACCAAAACTATTCTGGCCAGCTAGAAAAATAATGTTTCAGAGAACGATCCTTACAATTAGTTGCCAAGCGGATTAATTTGAGATTCGCGATCTTTTTATTTAGTTTGAAATTGAAGGTTAAACATAATGATTACAATTCATTATAATTAAATTAAGATCGTAGGCGCGTCGGATCCGAGACGCGATTGCTCAAAAATGCATCAAAACGAACCCCTGGAAAAGCCGAAACATCAATAGGCAAACAGACATTTTTGAGGCGGGTGGCGGCCCTGAACTATGGACGCGAATGGACGACGTTAAGCTCCAAATGACGTTCAGATTATTGGGGGACCTTGAAAAGTCAAGGCCGGTAACGGGAAGGAGTTCTAAATTGATTGCAAAAAAAAATTGCAGCAAGTAATAACACTTCGAAATGAAACAGCTTTCCTAAAGTAAAATCAAAAACTTGTCTGGGGGTTTTCGGGGTGCCTATTTAATGCTGTGTCATTATGATTGACGTGTAAGTCAGAATATTACTGCTTCTCTCTCTTTCTCTCTCTCTCTATCGCTCTCTCTCCTTCTTTCAGAAATTGCATGATTCATCTTGAGGGAACCCCCGATAAAATGCTTTTTTTTTCGGATTACTAGGGCCGATTTGATAAGGCAAAATGCGTAGGCACTGACGAAATTTAAAAATTCAGTTCAAAATGCCGGCTAAGGTTCACTTTTGCGCCTCAAAATTGCCGAAGTTTGTCGTCTCAAATATACTTCCTCTCAAATCTTACTCAGTAAACCAAACTAAAAAATTAGAGTTTCAAAAACTGATAACTATCGCGTTTTCTCAGCTTGAGCAATCGGGATAACATAAGTAACTCTAGAGTCTAGACGCTACAGAAATTAGTAGGTCTTCAGAAAAATTAAAGCAAAAAAAAAGTGTTGCAGAATACAGTAAACCCATCAAACCTCGGAAGTCATAAGCCGGTGACAAAAAATGGGTTCCATAAGTTAATGAAATTCCGTTGATTCCCGAATTGATAATCGGCGGATCACCTTTCTTTGGTCAAATTGTTTTAAATAGAAATCCCCCATACCTTGTAGGGTCGTAAAAACTGTAAATTCCAGATGCGTTCTTTGGCAGGTACGGAAAAATTTGCGTGAATTTCACGGGCATAGGCGCGTAACAAGGTCGAGGAAATTGAGGGGATTTTGCGTAAATAAGAAGAGCGGAAGGGCACATTTTTTCAGAGAGAGAGAGAGAGAGTGAGAGAGAGACGGAGAGAGAGTGAGAGAGAGGGCGATAGAGAGAGAGAGGGCGAGAGAGAGAGAGCGAAAGAGAGAGAGAGAGAGAGCGAGAGAGAGAACGAGAGAGCGGGAACGGTCATGTAAATAGGATCGAGGAACAGTTGGCTGGGGAGGAAATTTGCTCAATGGATGCCCTTCGCTTCCCCAAGAATTTTTTGCACTTTTGAAGGTAGGGAAAGTCGTAATAAAAATAAATATTTCTGAAAGAAAGTGAAAAATTGATGAAACGTTAACTTTCCAACATTTTTTTGGTTATTTCCGAATCCAAACAAATCACGAAATTTATGAGGGTAGCTTGCCATTTATTTAAAAAATATTTTTCACAGCAATAATAGGAAACTAACATAAATTAAGTAACTGTTACATCGAAAAGGAGTGCGTCGGTTCGAAGGAAAAAACTTTTTATATGTTTCAAAATTTCATATGCGTCCAAAAATTGTGATGCGCATAATCTGACGAGCCAACTCAATGACTCAAATCAAAAAAGTCAAATCCAAAACAACAAAAAAATACATTTCGAATTCAAATAAAGGCTCAATAATGTTTTAAAGCGTAATAATATGTTATTGCTTTCAGGTTAATTTCGAACGAGCTTTAAATGTTGACTTTTTAGGTCAATAAGCCTAAAAATGAATTATTCTGTATTAAAATTGTGAATTTTGGACATGAAAAATACCCTACAAGGCCAAATTCAAAATCCTAAATTCGCCAAAAATAGCCAAAAAATGATGAAATTTCAGGAAATTCCGGGGATTTCAACTATTCGGCTATTATTCGGCTACCGTAAACGCCGATTTTCAAAAGTCCTTCAACAAAGGGGAGGGGCTGATTTTTTGAGCGCAAAAATATGCGGAAATCCGCCCCGCGTGGAAAATAGAATGGAAAAGGTATAAAAAAATTGGGATTAGTGACGGATGGTATGAAATCTTTTTTGGGGGGGGTGAAAATAACCCGAAGGGGAGGGCAAAATTGATCAACAACAGTTCAAACGGGGGCAGCATGGTCAGCCCCCCAAAAAATGAGGGGCAGTAGATAGAGGAGGAAAACAGGGTCATAAAATCCGGACGCAGAGGGTGGTATCACTTTTTTTAAAAACATAATTATTATCCTGAATTTCTATGTAGAAAAGCTAAATTTTAATAGATACCTGCTAATAATAAAAAATGCATTTTTATAATGTTAATCGGTCCTTATAAAGAAAATACGATTATCGAAACTTCTTATTATTAAAGTACAATTGTTAATTTTTAAAATTTATGTTCCTGAAACATATTTTCTAGCGACAAAGTAGCTAAGCGACTAAGCGACTAGACAAAAAGCGACAATGAATTCGGTTTAAGATTTTTTTCCGTACCTGGCGTCCCTGAAACTTATTTTTTTAGGCATTTCCACCAATTAAATCTATATATTTTTAGAGCCCGACACCAGAATTAGTCGTCCTTTTAAAGAAACATTAAACACAGCGGATTTCGAAACTAGAGCCTAAACCGGTTAAAATTTCCATTTTGATCATAATTAATTAAGTAAATAAATGACTAACCTTTAGACAGTGCATGAAAACTTCATAAAAAATTGCAAAGAACTTAAATTAAAATTAATTCCATTAAATTTCCATTCAACTGAGGCTGATCCAGTCTCTTGAGACACAGGTTCTTCGAAACATTCATTTTCAACGAGAAAATTAGGTGAATACTGAGAATGGTATCTTCATAGGACATTAGCTTTGCTCACGATTTCAATAAAGTTAAAGAATTTAATTTTTCATAAAAACATACCGTGCTCCATTTGGTCTGTAAAAGTATGTTCCTTCAAAATATTCACTTCCTTGGAAAATGGGAAGCGCAATTCTTACTGCGCGGTTGGTGCATTTCGATTTCGATGAAAGTTCCTAGTTAATTGGATAAATCTTCCACAAATAGAATATATAAGGTTTAACTTAATTAGATTTTGCGATAACATATCGAAATTGCTGGCACAAGTTCACTGATAGCAAAAACAATTTTTTTTTACAAAAATAGAAGCATAAAGTTTCGTAACGCCCCGCCAAATCGGTTCAAATTTTGGATCGAAAACAGGACCTATGGAGGATCAAAAGGACGGTAGTGCGCGATTTGGAATTTCTTGCTATTTTCTTGACGTTATGCAGTTGTTTCAAAATTCGGTCCATGAAATCCGCAATAGTAATCAACGGTAAATAAAATACATTGAAAAACAATGTTTCTTGAAACATTCACTTAAACAAAAAACGACTACAAATTGATCGTTGTTCGTAGGTTGTTTACATTTAATTAAATTTCGTAAACCTTCATTAACATTAAAATACAATATATATTGTAATTTCAGTTCCACAAAACACGTAGAAACGGTAGGGATGAGATTCTGGAACAGTATGGCTTAACCTGGCTGAATTTCTGGAATTTCCAGAATGCATTCAACGATAACGATTAAGTAATTGGCAGTAGGAGCAGATGGAATCGGGATATAAACAGCGAAACATTTTGTCAAAAAATAATGTTCCTTGAAAGCATTAGTTTCATGGAAAATCCCAAAATTATTTCCAATTTTCCAGTTGCTAGAATTAATAAAAAGTCGTAATAAATTTAACTATACTTTCACCATATAAACGATAATATAAATTAATTAAAATAGGTTTAAATGGTTTAGTTTTTACAATAAAATATCGAAATTACTTTATAAAATAACAAGTCATTCACAAAAATAGAAGAAACATAAAGTTCAATTTTGATAAAAATAGAAACATAAAATTTCGTAACGCCCTGCCAAATCGGTTCAAATTTTGGATCGAAAACAGGAGCTATGGAGAATCAAAAGGACGGTAGTGCGCCATGTGGGATTTATTGCTATTTTCATGTCGTAAATAGTGGTGGAAAGGGGGTGTTTTCAGGAGGGATGTTGCCTTTGATTGAGATGAGATCATCTGATCTTTCCGAAACGATCCTGTAGTAGTCAGTCGCGCGACTTTTTGGTCAGCCAATGATCGCTGAGAGTGACTGCGGGTGGGGTGGCCTTGGGAATTAATGGGGGAAATGCCACGAACCAGAAAACGGAGTAAAAATTAGCGAAAAATTGCCTCGAAAGCATTGGGCTTTTTAAATACTAAATAGACAAGCAAAATTTCAAAATATAAGCAAAAAAATTTGGAAAATGTTTGTTTCAAAAATTTAAAAGTGAGGAGTTGAAAAAGTTAGTTTGTAATGTGTTTGAAAATGGTTTTATGAAGAAGAATGAAGAACAGATTTTAAAAATTATAAAGTCTCTAATTATTAATTAAAAAAGGCAAGTTTGCAGTTATAAAATTAAAGAAAGGCCTATTGTTTCAAAACTGTGTTGATAAACCTAGTAAAGCTACGCTGAAATTAACCGGGGAAAAATCAGGATGTCTCACTAGATGCGACGAGAATTGCTCGATTCGCCGAGCGACGGAATATGCAAGGTAGTGGAACATCAACTTTTTAAAAAAAACGTGAAATGGCTGTCTAAACCAGGCGCCGAATAAGCCCCGGCAAGGTGCTGGGCCTCCCAAAGTATAAAACATCGAAAAGCACGAAGCAAAAGAGAGAATCGATCGAAACATTAAACCATAGACAGAAAACGTCACGTTCATCAACGACCAATCGGTGTAATCTCAAACGTAATAATACCGACAGACCGACAAACCTGGAAAACCAAAAAATTATGGGCCGTGGTGATTTGTGAAATACCTGCAATTCGCGAGAAATCCAGAAAAATCACATAAATTTTTGTTGAAACATAATCTTTCAAAAGCTCCCCAAAACACCAACCTGACAGCGCCTCGTCGGCCTCGGCGTCCAGCACGATGAAGCCGGCGCTTGGATGGTTTTTAGGGATCGTGACGGCGGAAGAGTCTTCTGCTTCTTCAGTGTCCTGCAAGATATGAAGTAATACTCTCGTTTCCTCAAACAATCTCTGCTAGCCTGCCCTCCTCTCGGGGTCCGTCCATTTCCTCAAACAATCTCTGCTAGCCTGCCCTCCTCTCGGGGTCCGTCCATTTCCTCAAACAATCTCTGCTAGCCTGCCCTCCTCTCGGGGTCCGTCCATTTCCTCAAACAATCTCTGCTAGCCTGCCCACCTCTCGGGGTCCGTCCATTTCCTCAAACAATCTCTGCTAGCCTGCCCTCCTCTCGGGGTCCGTCCATTTCCTCAAACAATCTCTGCTAGCCTGCCCTCCTCTCGGGGTCCGTCCATTTCCTCAAACAATCTCGGCTAGCCTGCCCTCACCTGTCCGTATTTTTCGGGGGACCACTGCAGCAGGAAGCCGTAAATCGAGTCGGCCTTGTTGCGAGGGATTGTGAACCAGAATTCGCGCTTCAGCCTGAAATTGATGGCAGGACTAATCAAATTGCAAACTTCAACTAACCTAAAATTTTGAAAAAATTAGCTAGAAATTTCACGAAGCCACAGAAAATTCATTTAATATTCCTCATAAAAATTGTGGCAGGGTATGTTTTTCAGAAACATTTTTTTATGGCATTAACTTAGAATTGCGTCCATTTCGCAAAAATTGAGTATTGAAAACTTAAAGTAGCATCATAGTGGAGTCTAGACTCTGGAATATCAATTGCTTTTAGCATTACCAGGCGTGAGTCTATTTGCGAAAGCTACAAAAAAAGAAAAAAGACCGACACTCTGGCACACTTTTGACTCTTTTAGGGTGCCCTGGCGTGCGCTCGACTCCAAAACATAAAATTTTTAGAAGAAAAACACGTCTTAAAGGCACCAGAATTTTTTCTAAAGCCAATCTAAATGCGCTGTTTTTACAAAAATCTTAGCTTTCCCTATCAAAAATTGCCCTGGACTTTGTTTTAAAATGTTAAAATGTTTCATCAAAGGTTTCAGTTAATAAGTTATCGTTCTTTTGTTAATTATAAAATCCTTTATTCTTGAAAATGCTTCCACCCTTTTTGCCAACTCTAAATTTAAATCTTTTACCTTAAAAGGTGCATATTTCTTCTAAGAAATCTTTCAGGTCTGGTTTTATATAATTTTCGGTTTTCTCTAGTTAAATCCTTGCCGAGGTATGTTTAAGATTAAAATCTACCTTTTCCCTTCTGGGTTCCTTAAAAGTAGCTAACATTATAGACAAGCTAACCGATTGCCAAAAAGACAGTCGTCGTCGTAGGAGGAGACGGACGAGCCGTTGTTGATCGACGATGTCCGGGTGGCTTTCGCTGAAAATTGGATGCATTTTAAAGGGGATGACACGGATGGGGGAATTTAATGGTTTTAGTTGCTGAAAAAAATCGGCTTTTTGCTAGATAAAAGGACTCGAGAAGCTGGTGATAAAAAGAAAGTTTCAGGTTTTCAAAAGCTCATCTGAATTTGGTTGTCGGTAATTCTCGTTACACCTGGTATCCTCGTAAATGCACCCAACACGAAAATATAAAAATGATTTGAGGCGCATAAACTAATTTCGAATATATTTAAGGGGAGGGGCAAATGTTTATCAGGACATGGTCCGCCGCCTCCGCGACACGCAACGCGCACGCCGCCCTTTCATTGCGTACTAGGTTCCCGGCCGCTCTAATCGGTAATCGGGTCCCGTTGTGTGTCGCGGTTACGTAAAATGCATATAAAATCTGATGAGAATTTAATGATCTTAGTAGCCGCAAAAATATTGACTTTTTGCTAGATAAATACACTCGAAGAGCAGGTGAAGAAAAAAAGTTTCAGGTTTTTAAAAGGTCATCTGATTTTAGTTTGGGTTAATTTTCCTTGGAGGTTACTTGGTAAATGCACTTAAATGGTGCGAGTATAAAAGTTAAAATAGATTTAATATGTTGCAGGCGCTGTTTCATGACGTAATGGGAAAACGCCCTTCACGCCAGCAACTGGGCGGTCGCGTTGCGTGTCGCGGTCCCGTAAAAGGCGTATAAAATCTATAGCCAAAAATCTATCGTATTGCCTTGTCGATTCCTTTAAAAAGATAATTAATCGTCATTTTTTAAAGGCGTTAAGAAATTTTTGGGTAACAAAAGGAAATACAAAGATTTAAAAAATGCGACAAAAAATGTTTCAACATTTCGAGTGACAAAACCGTTTTTCGTACGGCTTATTCAATCGTGCACCTGGTGTGAATCTCGCAGAATCGAAAGCAATTAGCACAAGGAATTGCTTAAAGATATTAAAATATTTTTCACAAAAATCATGTTTCAATATTTTTATGGGGAGAGCCGTTTCCGGTTTACTGATTCGGACTCCAGTGCGAGCAATTTATATTCAAGGGATTCGAGTCCGTGCTGAATTTTAATAAACGTATCGTATCGATCGACATTTCTGGAACCAAAACCACCTAGGCGGAAACATACAAATTTTATTAGGGCCTTGCAATTGTCTTAAGCAAAGCGGCGTTGCAACATTTTTAAGGATGATGTGGTTTAGGGGTACTCTAATACGTCTTCGCGTCACGTTACCCAGTGGAGTTTAATTAATATTATAAATTATTGTTAATATCTGTAAACAATAACATTAACAACTCAAGAAACTATTGATATCGAACACATTATAATCTAAGGGCGAAGCCTAAACCGCAGCCCCAATAATTTTTAACAAAAACATGTTTTAGCATGGTAATGGTAATTTGTACTTTCGGATAGCGCAATTTTCGGTGCTTATGTAATAGTAGAAACTATTCTCAAGGAATTCGCAGCTAATTGAAAAAAGTATCCCCCAGCTGGGTACTACTAATTAATTACAAATAATAAATACTCTAATTCAGGCATACCAATTTTTCATAAAAAATGCTTCCATATTTTAACGGGAAGGTATTCTTGCGGATAGCTTACTTACGGCTTAAAAATGTCGAAAACAATTTTCAAGTAATTATGGTCGGCTTTTTAATAAGGTATCCCGAAAGAAGTCGGTATCTAAAACCAGTACAAAAATCATTTCTAGAAGAAGCTCAGATTCAGGCAGATTGCCAAGAAAACATGTTTTAGAATTATTGGAAGACCAAGAAATATTTGACGACCACAATTTTCCGTGGCGAAGTTCATGCTTAATTTTCAAATAATATAAAGTATATAAAATGAAAAACCATATTATTAAAATGCCATTAAATAATGCAAATCCTTAAGTTCTGACAAAAATTTTCAAAAAAAAATGTTTTAGAATATTAGACGGCGGGCAAATATTTTATGGGCAGAATTAGTGAAGCGGGCAAAAATTTTCTATGGTAATATCGAAATTCATAATGTCAAAAATCATGACGAAATTCATATGTCACATTGGATCGCATTCGGGTTTTTTTCGGGAATTTAATTGTCGAAAATGTAAACCAATGTAAATTTCGACATGATGAAATTTCGACAATATGAAAATCGACATCAAGATATTTCGACGTTTTGAAAGACATTCAGTAATCTCAAGGAATGCCAAACGTATTTTAATAAAGTATCGCCCGCCGAATTTGTTGTTTGTATGGGTTATTTGCCTGGGGCCAGCCGGGTCCCCCTTCCCCCTCTTGGCCTTAGCCGAAATATCGATTTTCGGCGTGCATCCACCACCTCCACTGCCAGCTCTGGCTGCAAAAGGGGGCAGAGGAAGGGCTCAAGCGGAAATTGCTCTCGGAAAATACACGCTTAAGAAAAGGAATCTAAAAGAGTCTTTTTTTTGCAGTTCAAGACTAAGACCAAAACAAAGCATTTATTAATGTCTGACCGAATATTCGATTCCTAATTTTGCTTAAAACATTTTTTGAGGAACCGTGCGAAAACCTGATTTTACAACAGATTTTTTAGAAAAATACAAAAATTTTACTTACAGAATTTATGGTTTTTCCGACGGTTTTTACGGCTTGCGACAAAACTTTCTCGACAAATTTTCGAAATTGGATAGCAAAAGTCTCAACGTTCATTGACACGATCTGGCACTGGATAATTGAACACGTTAAAAAATCTGGATTTTTAGAAATACCTAAAACATTTTTTCCAAAAAGTTCATAATTCGATTTTGGACGTTTCAAAGTTTCGACAGAACTATCAGGACTTTTTTGAAACACTTCTAAAATCATTCGAGTATTTTTAAGATTAAACAACAAAGAAATTAAGCAGTACACGATATTTCAGTTTAGATGTTGTCTAGAAACACTTTTTATTTAAAGACTTTTCCTAGAAAGTCCGCATTTTTATGGACGTCATATTGTTTATAATTTTTATAGAGTTGATAATTTTAAAATAATGCCGAAACGTGTAAAAAAATAAAAATTAAAAATAGCATCAGGAGGCTGAGGCGAGAATTAGCCGAGAAGAAATGCTTGTTTCAAGAAAAGAGGAAACGTGCTCTCGAGCTCTCAAGCGCCCTAACCCCATCACTACACTTCCCTCCACTTGACCTTCACAAAAAATTAGGCACTAAAACGGTAGCATTTTATAGATCTGGCAAGAACCACAGTATTAGTCAATGCAAAAATTTTTTAATTTTTCTATTTTTTGAAACATAATTTTTTAAAATTCTCTAAAAACATTCGCATTCGATACTAAGTAAGCAAATCCAGCAGCTTTTAATTTTCTAAAAGATCCCAAAACTCGCCAGCTTGCTATGAAAATGTTAATATTTGCAATGAAGATCATTCGTCAATAGTAGTCAGAGTAATTTTCAGGTGTAAAAAAATTATGAAACATCTCTTTTTTAGTTTTCAAATTGTTTTTGATCAATTTCCAAATAAAATAGGGTTAAATTTTGCGCAAAGCACAATTAAAATACACTATTCCTCTACTAGGCGTTTCTGAGAATTAAGAAAAGAATTCGGCTTGCTCCTAGCTTAATAATAATCAGAGAAACCCTCAGAAACACCTAAAAAACTAAGGAAAAAGAAATGTTTCATTGCAGCGGGAGGGTAGGAAGTTTGATGGAACAACAATGTAGAGAAAAGCTATGCTTTTAATAAACAAAAGGAGCAATTGATGTAGCCTAAGCCGAACCTAGGCTTAAACCCAAGCCTAAGCCAATCCTAAGCTAAGTCTAGACTAAGCCTAAGCTAGGGCCGAGCCAAGCCTAAGCTAAGCCTAGACTAAGCCTAGAGCAAACCTAAGCTAAGCCAAAACCAAGCATCAGCCTAAGCTAAGCCTGGGCCTAAGCTAAGTATAAGCCAAGCGTACGCAAAGTTAAAGCTAAGCCTTAGCCTACGCCTAAGCTCCAAAAAAGATCTCCCAACATCAATAGCTTCAAAAATTATATTTTATTCTAAAATAATTCGAAAGCTAAAAATAAGTAGCGTACTGCTGCGTCTAGGTTAAAATTGCCCTTGAAATTCTAAGCAAAAAATAGTAGATCGGTCTGAAAAGGCCTTGAAAAATTTTGTCAGAATTTTGTGAAAAAGTCAGTTCGGGAAAAAGAAAATGTTTCCCAAATGAAAAAAGCGTGGAAAGTTGCTGGACCGTCAATAACAGTTATATGGAATATATCAAAAATTTCATATTTAGCTATTTTAAAAACTCACACTTTCGCATCTTTTTCCGGGTCAGCCGGACCGCCATAAAATATGGCATAATCGGCGAGGAGGGGGCATCGGATTGGCCGGCTGAGGTGTCCGTTTCCGATTCGGAGCGCGAATTTCTGGAAATTATAAGGTTTCAAAAACTGGGGCAATCATTTTAGTTTTAGAAGTCTCATTTTGTAGACTTTCATCGCTAGTTGTTAATTTTTTTTTAATTTCGACTTGTTAATTAGTTAAGTTGTTAATTAAAGTAAATGCAAAACCCTTTAAAAAATGCAGCTGTCTATTATCTTCTATATAAATGCATTTTTAAAGTATTTTTAGAAGTTTTTGTTGGCTAGGTTATCAAAATGTAATCTTTCAAAATTGTAAATTTTCGAAATTTTTGTTCGAAAACGTTCAAAAAGGTTGGGTTGCAACATCATTAAGCAAACCATGCTTTTTAAAAAAAATATACTAAAGGCGAGCAATATTTATGCTAATATTTGTAAGCGACGATACTTCGGGATTACGGTATCATCACGATAATACGACTTTAAGTTGTCACAAAATTACGTTACGACGGCTTTACGATACTACGGTATTACTGCTCGAGCTTTTTTACGGAAAATAAATGGGTGCCAACTTGTGCAGCAGCTCGTCGACGGTGCTGAACAGGTCGGGACACTCGGTCGGTTCGGTGGCACACGTGAATCTGCACAAAACGATAAACGCAAAATGGATGCACTCAACAACGTCGGGTTTTAGGGGTTTCACACTCCGCGATACGCAACGCGCACGCACGCCGTGTCCGTGATTTAGGCGGTCGTAATCGATTACGCAGTGAAAAATTGAGCGTGCGCGTTGCGTGTCGCGGCGCGCGCATTCAAGGAACTTTCAAACGGCGGTAACGGCTTGGCTACAGATAGAATTAATGGGATTAACCCCGTAGCGACATGCGCCGCGCACGCCGTTGGCCGTCATTTAGCGTCGTGATCGATTGAAAGAAAAATTGTGTATCGCGGGCGTGGTAAAATTCTCATTTCATGCCCTATTTTTGAACGGGACGGGAAAGGCTTGGCTAAGTTTCTATTCGAATTCTCCAGTCGCGACACGCAACGCGCACGCCGCTTGGCCGTCATTTAGGGGTCGTAATCGATTACGCAAGGAAAAATTGGACGCGAGCGTTGCGTGTCGAGGGCGTGGTAAAATCCACATGTGCTATTTTTGAAAGGGACGGGAAAGGCTTGGCCACGGATTCTATCCCCGAATTCTCCAGTCCGCGACACGCAACGTGTGCCGCATTAAAAGAGCGTAATCGAATACACAGTCCAAAATTGGGTGTCACCGCGGTAAATCCAGAATCATGCCTTACCTGGCCCTTTAAGGAGCAGGGAAAGCGTGGCTAACGTTATCATATGGATCCGCGACACGCAACGCGACACGCCGCTTGACCGTATTTAGGCGGCATAAACGGTTACGTAAGGAAAAATGTGGCGTGCGCGTTGCGTGCGAATCCATAGCCATACCTTCCCCGGTGCTTTAAAGCTCGATCGAGGCTCTATCGGGAGCGTGCGAGAGAGTTATACTTTTAAAGGGAACGTGCCACAAACGCAAATACAAATGGTTGAAGAGCATTAAATGTACTTACGCGGTTTGGTCGATTCCCTTCGAGACGGCCTCCTGCCGGGCGGCCGCCGTTTTTTGGCTGAAAATTTGATAAAAATAAATTGGGACTAAAAACAAGTGTTTCGTTTTCCTATGGGGTGGAAGTGAGCAGACGAAGCGCAGTTCATGTAAAAATGTGGGTGATAAAAAAAAGCAAATGTTTCAACAACCTGTTTGACAATGGACTTCTACCAAAATCCCCCTATATTTTTTGGCCGAATCGTTTCTTTGAAAAAAATGTTTTGATTATGCTACAAAAATCCTTTTTAAACGCTTTTTTAAAGGGTTTTTTTTGAAGCCAAGACTTTAAAATAAAAAACGGGGAAGGGTCTAAATTTTTAGATTGCTATTAAAAAGCGTTAACTAAAAAAGCGAAAGTATTAAATAGAAATTAATTAAACCCCGAAGGAGTTTAAAAGTTTCCCCGAAGTTTTAAGAAATAAAAAGTATCCTACTATATATAAAAAAATAGTGTCTGTGTGTGTGTGTGTGCCACTTTGAATGCGACTTCCGTCAGGTTGTTCCAGTCATATCTCAAGAAGGAAAGTAGTTAGGGGTATGTTTGATACATCATTAGGAGCGGAATGGCCTGGAGATGACTGCACGCATATCAAATTTATCAAAATCGTCTATTTTCGACATTAAATTTTAGTTTTTGTTGAAGACCCTCTTTGTTAGGAATTAATTAGCATAGACCGGAAGTGCGGGTAGCCTATATAAAGGAGCAGAGAGCGCATTTTTCACTTTTTCCAGCATGTGTCGGGCCGAATTATGCAAAGTAAAAACTTTCATTGATCCAAAACGGGGCCAGGGTTGAAAAGTCGCGAAGCGGCTTTTCAACCCTGGTGATAAAATAAAACATGGTCAAGGGTAGTAGAAAACCAGTCCGAATTAAGCCTCTTTCCCTCGGTCTTTACTCCCATTTTCCTGAAACACATTTCCCTTACCGTAGTCCCTCGAGGGTGGCGAGCGATTGGTCCCGTTTCAGCTGCTGCGGGGTCCGTTGTTCTTGCTGAAATTCAATAAATACCGCTTGGCTATTAAAATTAATACGCAGAAGTTTTTAATTTAAAAATTGATAACCCCTAAAAATATTGAAAAAGTTATTTTCATCTAACAAAAGCTCAAAATGAAAAAATTATGTTTAGTTAAAATATAGAAATAAGATGGTCGTAATTTTCGTAATGTTCGATCATCTTTCATTGCATTACTAACCCTAGATCTATTGCGTTAAACGTTAAATAGTTATTCTTATGTGCTCTAACTTGTACCGCTTTCAGAAAATCGTAGCACTGCCGTCGGCGGCGGAATGGGCGCATTTTTGTAGTTTAGAGCGGCAAAATTCACGAAACCCCGATGAATTTTTGGGCGTTTTAGCAAAATTCGAGTGTATTTTGGCTGCAGACAAGTCGAGGGGCGGGGGAAAACTAGTTTTTGCATAAATCACTTCGAACGGACCGGTGGAGCGGGGGATCAACTGGCCTATTTCCACCTAGCGTAGACTAGCTGGAGCTCTTTCTGTCTTTTTCTCTCCTCTCTCTCCCTCTCTCTCTCTCTCTCTCTATCTCACTCACTCACTCTCTATCGCTCTCTCTCTCTCACTCACGCTCTCTCTTCCTCTCCCATTCTCTCTCACTCGCTCACTCTCCCTCTCGCTCTCTCTCCCTCGCTCTCTCACGGTCTCTCTCACCGTCTCTCCCTGTCTCTCACTCTCACTCTCTCTCTCCCTCTCCCTCTCTCTCTCTCTCTCTCTCTCTCTCTCTTACATTTTTTATTTGCCTTAAAGAAAAATTCTAACCAATTTGGTGTTTAAAGAAATCGGTTTAATCCATACCTCGACGGCAAAGAAGCCGCTGACCCCGTTGACGCCGTCGGCTATCAGCTCGCTGCCCTGAAACCCAAATGTTTATAGCTCCTCTCGATTTAGTTATTAAAATGATTTCAATAATGTGTTTTTTAATAACATTAAACATTTTTTGATAACACAACGTTTTTTTTTATAAACATTTAATTTAAATAAGCATATTCGTCTTTTCTTTCCCAGGCTCAGAAATACATGTTTCTCAAAATTTCCTACCGCCGTAGAAATTTTGGATGCTAATTTGAACTGCCGCCTTTACCAAAATTTCTTCCTATTCCTTAATATAAAAACATCTTGTTTTAATATACCTCACTTCGATCGACTAGTTTTTAATAAAATTCACATACCTTGTTGACGATGTTTTCGGGCAGTTGTGCAACACGATCGGCGGCCGCCTTCGCGCTGTCCCCCACCACTTTTGCCGAGGTTTGAATTCCGGTTTGGAGGGAATCTAGAAAAACATTAATTTGTGAATTCTACTAAGTCGTACTAACTAGGCTCCATTTTCTAAACAATTTTGACAAAAAGTAAAAATCGAAATTTTTTATTAGATTTTTACGAATAAAACTATCTAAGATACCATAAAAATGATTTGTTTTCATTAAACGGCCTTAAGGGATTACTGGGAAAAATTCCGCTACTAAACCCCCCGCTACCAGTCCAGTACCGTTTAATTTTCTTAATAAAGCAAAATAAAATCAATTCTCGCTGAAAATGAGGTTAAAATGTTTCATTTTCGCTGGTATTTTCGGATCGTATTTCTCTACTAATCCGGCTCAGGTGGATCTTGGAATTCAAATCCTAATTTTATGGCCCGGGCGTTTTTTTATATATTAGCGTTCAATAATCTTATATTTATAATTTTGTTAATATTATATATATTTAATATATTGATATATTTATAATAGATAACCAAAAAAAAATCTAATAATTTGAATCATTTACCCGCTGCGCTTTTCGTGTGCGTAACGACACCATGCGCCACGCTCTCCGCTCCCTTGGCCATCGTCTGCACGCCGCTCTTCGCTTTCGCGCTGAAACAATCAAATTTTTCTCGAAATTCCCAAAAATTCTGATAAATTCTAAAATTCACGAAAATTGAAATCTTATAAAAAACACGCCGTTCCACCCAGAAAAAACACTCGATCCGAAAACACGAGAGAGAAACAGGGATCAGGGGCATGCTTCAGGAAACGAGACCGGGTTGCTGGGTAATTGTTAGTTTTCTAGTTTTTTAATAAATTTCTTCATTTTTATGCATAATATGCTTTTTTAACCTTTTATACCTTTTTCGTGAGTTAAATACGTTTTTACGCCACGAAAAACCGCCCGATCAAATTTAGTAAATTTCGTAATTTTCTAAAAAAAAAAATGTTTCACCCTTTAATCACGGAAATTTGATATTTATCTCCATAATTTGGTGATTTTTTTCTCAACCATTTTGGCAAAGTATCAATTCTAGACAAAATTAACATCGTACATTATAAGTACACTAGCTATGTCTTAGCCCATGTCTAAACGTAAGCTTAAGCCTAAACCTGAGCTTCACCCCAAGCCTAAGCCTAAGCCCAAGCCTAAGCCTAAGCTTAAGCCTACGCCTAAGCCCAAGTCTAAGCTAAGCCTAAGCCCAAGCCTAAGCCTGAACCAAGCCCAAGCCCAAGCCTCAGCATAAGCCTCCTAAACCCAAGCCTAGGCCTAAGCCCAAGCCTAAATCTAAGCCTACGCACCAGAAAATTTTCGGCTGGGCTTTCGAGAATTGATGTTTCACGTAACTGGGCATTGCAATTATTAACAGTTTCTTTAGTTCATCTGCGCCCCCGTAATTCTTAAAAATCCAGAATTATATACCTTTCCACAATATCAGTAATTATATATATTTTTTCTACATTTCAACCCCTAGAAAAAAGTGGGCGGGGCTTGGTTATTCGTGCAGGGAAAATTATGTCTACTACCGTAACCCGGGCTCGATTCTGAGCCGGGCGAATGCAACTTACGAAATGGACATTGGCGAGAGACAGCTTGGAAATTAAGGGGGTTAAAGGGGCTGAGACAGAGTTTAATTGTAGTTTCTTTTTATTATGTAAAGCTTTTGATGGAATTACGGCTAGGCGGTGCGAAAAACTACCACGTTTTTTTGAAACATGAACTAATTATTATCGATTTCCTTGATTTGCTCAATACAAAATTTTATTTTTATTTAAATTTAAATTTAAATTTAAAAAACCGGGTTACCTGTGACAAAAATGAAACAATTTTTGTTGCATGGATGCATGTTATAAAAATCGTCGCAGCTAGCCTGATAGTCGCGCTGGATAGTCCAAACAAAAAATTGAAACAAAGCCACGCGAAAAACAACACATTAATTCAAAGTAAATTTTTGCATTTTTAAAAACTCAATTTTAAAAGTATAATTTATATATCCACGAGAATGATAATAATTTAGCTAGTTCTGCTCGCAAGGATTTTTGAATTCTAGTTTTTGAAAAATTATGTTTTTCAAATTTAAAAACTAAGGAAGCCGAAAGATAAACAATTTCAAACTTAGTTTCAATTTTGGCTGAAATATGCTCGAGGTTTTTACCAATCAATAAGAAATGATTACCTTAAAAATTATAGCAAACGTATGTTCAGTTTCAATTGGTGAAAAAATGTATTTTTCAAAAAGGCGCACATTCCAAAAATTTTTGAGGGATATAGTTTTTCCAACGTCCCAGGTGTTTTTTGCGTAATTGAAACGCCAGTTTTTCGACGATACCATTACGGCAGGGCAATCGTAGAATTAGGGGGGTACGGTAGAAAACGACCAATACACGACGGCGCACCACCTACCTCAGCGTTCGCCCCAATTTGCCGAACGAACGTCGCGCGGCCCCCGGAGAATATCTATTTTGCATACAAGCCAAAGATAGAGAAAAGGGGGAGCAGAGAAGCTGGCAGACACGCAGAAGGGAGCGTTAGAAGAACTGCACACGTTTCCTCAAACAATCTCTGCTAGCCTGCCCTCCTCTCGGGGTCCGTCCATTTCCTCAAACAATCTCTGCTAGCCTGCCCTCCTCTCGGGGTCCGTCCATTTCCTCAAACAATCTCTGCTAGCCTGCCTTCCTGAGCAGGCTAGCAGAATTCATTGAGGATTTCGAATTTTCTTAGAATTCAGCCCGGATAGTTGAGAGAAAAAGCGTTAAAGTATCCTTTAGTATGCAATTGGCGAAGAGGCGCCGCTACCAGGCCCAGGCGCACCGAAAAATGTCTCGGGCATGCAAATTTGGGATTAGATTTTTGTAGAATATTTTTTTTTAATGCGGGCTTCTCACCTGCTACCAAAACTCTGCGCAGCACGGAGTTCAGCCCTCGGTTTCCCGTCGTCGTCCACAATTTTGCCGGCCTCATCTGAAAAATTGGTTGAACTTAAAATAAAAATAAAAATTAATATTATACAGTAAAATTTTATTGGCATGGTTTCAATTCTTGTACTTGATTTAAAATTCACTTCTGGATTACGGCTTTCAATTGAAAAAATAGTGTTTCATTTTCTATTCTGCACGTCTATGAATACTTTTTGACAATTAAATCTCCCAGATCGGCGAAAATACACATTAATATTTTTTGATTTGATTTATATTCATAAAATTTTTAAAACATCTTTTCATAAAAAACATCAATAGATTAAGAATAAATAAGCACTACTCTGGGAGTCATTAAAAAATTTTACTTCATTCAAATTCCTGGTTTTAATGAAAATTTGCTTTGCAGGGCTAGGCTCTCGTTGACAAATAGTGTTTTATTTCTGTCAATTAAGATGTCAAATAATATTTGATACACCGAAGCTTCGAAATTGACGAAAAAACACATCAATATCGTACAAATTCTTGCTTAAAATTACAAAATTCGGAGTGGAGTTTTTTGGGAAATTGTCTGATTCTCAAAAACCCATGTTTCGAAAATGTGTAGCAAATACAGATAATAGTGGTTTCTAATTCCTTCTGCTGATTTTGCCGATACCATTTTCCCTACATTTTTCCAATTTTTTAAAATTGTGGAGGCTTTGTATAACTGAAATTTCCTAGCTATTTAACAGCACCAGACGACATGAATTGGAAGAGGGGGAAAAGACAGTGTAGCAAGAGAAAGGAAGAGATAGATTTTAAAAATCCAGCATACTGTATTTCAATAACCAATTCTTTTTCTAATTAGTGTGAGTTATAAATTGAGGGGTTTTTCTCTTGTACGTTAAAAAAGCTACATTTAATTGTTGGCAAAATCCATTAAAATTGGAGCGAAGAAAAGAAATGTTTCGTCACAAAAACGATTCTTCTCACAAAAAGTAACATTATTGAATCTTTAGATGCTGGTTGCAGCTTATATCAATCTCTCGAAATAACATTTTGCCGAAATATAATTTTTACGCAACTTTATTTTGTCGAAATACCGTTTTGTCGAAACATCGTTTTGTCGAAAATCTTTTTCGAAACGTCGTTTCGTTGAAATTTCATTTTATCACAATTTCTTTTTTCGAAATAGCTTTTCGTATTTCGAAAAACGGATTTCGACAAACTGGCCGCCGATAAACAGTAAATCTTAATTGACCTTTTTCAGAAAATTTATGTTTCAAATATTTGTCTAACCACCTAATTAATTAAACCCGTAATTCATCAATCGTTTTACCTGAAAATAACATCTTCAAGATGCCTGGCCTCGTGTTCTTATGAATTTTTAAGAATTTTTGGACGCACAATTGAAGTTTCGACTCGCATAATTTTTTTAGAAATCAACATCTAATCCTAAAGCCACGAAAAGGACAGCAGAAAAAACGGAACGCAATTCCGGTGCGGAAAGCGGAAAGTGCGCCAAAAGACTGGCATAGGTATAGAAATGTAGTGCGGACCATGATTACGGTATATACGTTATGCAAATTACCCTTTCGCCGGAGCGAAAAAAATCGCTGCGGAGAGGTGCCTGAAATGTGGTTGCTAGCAAATTAAATTTTCTTAATTTTTAAAATTTTCTGGGAATGAAGATAAATAAAATTTTGAAAACCGAATTTAATATATTAAAATATGAATTTTAGAAATTTCAAAAACGCACCGCCATCGCTGATGCTGCGCTTCCGGGGCGCCTCGTCGGTTATGGGGGAACGGAGCTGGAAAATGATTCAATTAAATACAGCTTAATATACCTTATTCACAAATTTAATTTTTTCCATAAATAAAAACCTTAATGTACTGAACAAGCCATTCAAATTAATTCCAATAAGATTTTGTATTCTTTTTCTTCTTTGAATTGAATTTTTATTGACTTTTAGTTTACGTCAGCATGTACTGCTTGGTTTAAAATTCACAGAAAATGCTTTACCTGTGAAACTCATTTTTTGTCCATATTTTTGAAAAGTCGTAAGGCTCTAAAAAGTCAAAATTTGAGCGCGAATTTAAGCCAATTGTTTTAGAAGCAACCGGGGTGTTTTCGGGAAAAAACGACTTTTTGGAATGATTAAAGTTATGTTAGGGTTCCAGAAACGGGTGGGCCAGACTTCATGGCTCCTTTAGGGATAGGACGTGAATAATTTACCCCGGGAAATTTCCCGAATTTCGTCATATTAAACGTTAGACTTTATGAATTTGACGTGCTCAAGTCACCCAAAATAAGCACAGCATCAAAAAAGAAATAGATTTTATTAGAAGTCCGCCGTAAAAAAATGAGTTTCATGAAAAATCGTATCTAGTAAATTATCACCCACAATAATAAGCGGACCCTCGAAGTGATCATGTTTTTTGTATAATTTCGGCATTATGATATTTTGTCATTATGAATTTCGCCATTACGTAATTTCGGCATTTTAAAATTTCGATATTAGCAGGTTTGGACATTATGAAATTTCGACATTATGCTAGCGAATCGCTTCCCTTAATTTAATTTAGGGAATTTCTCTTCAATTTAGCCTTTTTTAAAAAACAAGACGATTTTTTAGCTAGAGTCCAACCCCAGCTTACCTGTGGCGCGTGCCCGAAACGATTAGAACCGAGAAAAAATGTGTTTCATGAAAACTTATACTTGATAAGTTATAGCTTACAATAATAAGTGGTGAGTCGAAAACATCATGATCTTTGCATATTTTCGGTGTTATGATATTTCGGCATTATGAATTTCGGCGTTACGAAATTGAGATAAGTTAAGCTTTCGATATTAGGAGATTTGCCGTAATTTTATTTATGGAATTTTCTCTTCAATTTAACTCTTCTTAAAAAACAAGACGATTTTTTAGCTATAGTTTGTAGCTCAACCCCAGCTTACCTGTGGTGAGTCTTTTCCCGCCTTTTCCTCGGTGATCGACGGTAACTGCGTTTCCGAGCTGATCCGGGGTGATTTTGGAGGCTAAAATATTTAAATTTTAGCTTACAAAAAAGCACACATTAAAAATCGCTTGAAGGTTCGTGCACGGAATGCTTATTCGTTAAAAAAATTTTTGTGATGTCAGAAATTTTGCTGAAACACGATACTTTTTCGGCGTTACTAACTCAAAAATTTAATTGATTTAGTGGGAGTCAAAGTAATGCCTACACTAGGAATCAAATGAAATTAATTAATTTAAGTTACAAATTTACCAAAGTCATAATTAAAACCATTACAGCATAAATATCTATCAACTTTTAATCGTGCTAAATTTAGCATTTTAATGAAGCTCCGAAAAATCCAAATAGTAAACATTCCTTAAATAATGGCATCCATTTTTAACATAACAATTATGTAAATAAAAATAACATTTTTTTAAATACAATAACGTATAAATAATGCAACAGTTTAATTAGACAAATTTACCTGGTCATCGGCCGACTCGTAGCCGGCGCTCTCCGGCTCGGACCCGTCAAAGGATGTGGAAAATACTAAAAAACCATTATTAAATATTTTATATTCATTTTAAAATTGGTTAGAACGCAATTTACCCCCCGCCCCAAGCCGGCACCCAACTTTTGTATCTCGGTTCCCTGTTCATCCACAGGTGTGTAAAGTATACCAAAATGTTCGTCTTGCTCTGGCGAGTATTTTCGTATACTTTACACACCTGTAGATGAACAGGGGGCCGAGATACCGTAGGTGGGGGTCGGCTGGGGGCGGGAGTAAACTGCACTTAAGCCTTAAAATTTACCTGGCCGTGAAGCGTCTTCAGAGGTTTGCGAGTTTACCTAAATTCGAAAGTTCATAAAAAACCACAACATTTTTATTTTTCAACTTTAAGAATTTATGTTTCAGATATATTTCAGTACCGACAAAAATCTGAAAAATTACTGGTTAACACAAAAAAAAGTAATTAAAATTGCAAGTTTAGGTAGACAAACATAAAAAATATATTGCATTTAACTAATCGATATATTTTGCATTCATTCATTACTATCTTATTCTCATTTTAGTAAATTCTTGTAGCTTATTGGCCCCGCAAATTTAATTTTTAAAGTCTTCGGAATATCATAAATTTCTAAATAATCTTAAATGAATTTTGTAAGTTTTGAAATGGTAAAATTTTTGGTTTATTAACTGCCGTTAACACAAATGGACACTACCATCAAATGCCGACCCTAAATCAGCTGAAAATTTGAAACATTTTTGGACGAACGTCTTGCAGTTGTGGTCGGAATATCTCCTTCTTCTTCCCCGATTTGTCGCCCATTAACGCGCCGACGTCCTTGTAGACGGACACTGCCATGATGTCGTCCATGCTGAAAAACTGATTTAAACCAACAAAACCAGACGAGGTATTAAACTGAGCCGCTATTTGGAAACAAGCCGAAGCTTTGAAACCAATTAGTTTTTCAGGTCAATTTTTGAGAGCATTAATATGGTTAATAAGTTTATTTGTTATATAGTTTAAAAAAGTATTTATAAATAAACAATAGCATTTCTAGACACTAGCAAAAGATATAAATACCATTTCACTAGTTTTCAATATTTTCGTTCATCCAAAATCTATGTTTCAGCAAAACTTAAAATCGCAATTTTTTGCCTGGGAAGATTGTCAATTACAAAAAATTGCACCAAAAAGTCAGGCATCTATTTTAACTATTTAATAAATTTAACTAATTTGACTTTGATCGTAAATTTTAAATTAATAGGCTAATATAAATAAATTTTATGACAAAAAACCAAATGCCTATATTTAAAAATAAAATGCTTCAAATTTTTCGTGCTCCAAGGCGACTTTTTAATTTTTAATGGGGTAGGCGGTCGGAATTCTTAATTTTTTTATTGTTATTGCCTTGCATTTTTAGCCGTCACGCTGCAGTTAAAAATTTGTTAAGTCTAAATTAAAAAAATAAATGCACTGACTTCGCCACCATCCCGTACAAATCGGGGCCATTCTCCTTGACCAGGGGGTGCGAGACGTCGGGATCGAACATCAGACAATTTGGGGTGACGAGTAGTGTGCCAGTTACGGTACCGTCGGACTCGGTGAGTTGTTTTACCTGGAAAAATCGTTTTATTCGGTTAAAATCTGCCTCTCCCTCATTCTCGATCTCTCTCCCTCTCTCTCCTTCTCTCTATCTCGCTCTCTCTTTATCTCTCGCTCTCTCTCTCCCGCTCACTCACCCGCACCTCCCGCTCTCTGACTCTCACATTATCTCTCGCCCCTTTCTCTCTATCTCTGTCTCTCACTCTCTCTCTCTCTCTCTCCGTGTCTCGCTCGCTTTCTCTCTCTCTCTCTCTCTCTCTCTCTCTCTTTCTCTGTCTCTCTCTCTCTATCTCTCTCTCACTCCGTATCTCGCTCTTTCTCTCTCTCTCTCTCTTCTCTCTCTCTCTCTCTCTCTCTCTCTCTCTCTCTCTCTCTCTTCTCCCTCTCTCGATACCTCCCGAAACAAAATCCTTTAAAATAGTCTTTCTGGTTTTTTCAAAGCTGCTTAACTTAAATTCGAGATAAAATTAATGTGATAGATTTTTACCATATTTTCCCAGCCTTCAACGCTCCTTTAATACGCCCAAATCCCGAAGATGCCTTCATTGTGGGCCGACAGGGCGGGGTATTGACCACACACGGGTGGTGGCTGTGTGCCCTCTGCGTGTTCCCTTCTCTTCCCCCACTCGCCCCCCACCTAGCCCACTCCTCTCCCACTTCCCCACCCGTACCCCCTCCGCAATGAAATATCTTAATCTGCCCGGGCCTTTGCTAAGACCCAGGGTGATCAATTTTTGGAAGCATCGCAAGATGCAATATGAGAAAGGATTATAGGGGGCTGTAATCTAGCCAGTTTTGGCCGAAATTGCCAAAGGTTTGTGACGAAACAACCGGAAAGTCGTGGTTTTTTAATTAATTAAAATTGAACTTATCGTTTCAAATGATAAGTTTTGCAAATCGGGATTGTTCTGTAGTGCAAGCGCAAAATAATGCTTTCGTTTTCGGTAGGGCAATTAGTAAAGTACAGCCGGTACAGCCGGTACAGCCGGATAGAAAGAGTGGGCAGAGGGAGAGAGCGCAGACATTTTTCTCTGCGTCTCTCGCCCCTTTCCATACAATCTCGAAACGGCTGTACCGGCTGTACCGGCTGTACTTTACAAAAAGCCTTCGGTAGTTGGTATTTCGGTAGTTGGTATGGAATAATGATAAAATGAGATAAAAATCACCCAGCAATTCCTAATTATTGCATGAATAAAAAATATTTTGCACATTTGATTAGAGAAAGCTTCAAAAGTCCTATACTTTTGTAGTACAAGCTTCTAAAAAATCACATTGCGATTTTCTGTAAAGCTATCAGGTTGGTAGATAAGTCCTGTCACAAATTTTTGAAATCGCTCTATAAAGCCGCAGAAACGTCCAATTTTCACTTGCGATACATGATTTGATAGGTCTTGAGATGCTCTACCGTGGGTGCAGTCGGATAAGGTCTGGAAATTGTGGGTCGCCGAGATAACGAGCCTTGAAGATTTTTGAATAATTACGCAAAAGTGTTTTAGCGAGTTATCTCTGCATAGAACAATTTGCATGCGATACCTTTAACACCAATCGATAGCTCTCGAGGAGTAGATATCGATAGATGTTGAGATCATCAAAATTGGACATTGGATGACCGAGATATGACCCCTTGAAATTTGGCCCATTTCTTAGAACTTTTCTCGAAATCCCATACATTTTGACAAAATCTCGGTGCGTGCAAAAACAAGGCGGCAAAGTTTGGCCCAAATGTGCAAAATGTATGGGATTTGGGGAAAAGTTCTAAGAAATGGGCTAAATTTCAAGGGGCCATATCTCGGTCATCCAGTGTCCAATTCTGATGATCTCAACATCTATCGCTACCTACTCCTCGAGAGCTATCGATTGGTGTTAAAGGTATCGCATGCAAATTGCTCTATGCAGAGATAGCACGCTAAATAGCTTTTTCAAGATTTTATTAAAAACTTCCCGGCGCTGTAACTCGACGGCGAGCCACTTTGGGGTCCTAGGAGGGTCATACTGAGGTAGAGCGTCCGAAGACCTATCAAATCATGTATCGAAAGCCCAAATTGGATGTTTCTGCGGCTTTCTAAGGCGCTTTCAAAAAATTGTGACAGGACTTATCTACCAACCTGATATTTTGCACGTTTGTTGCGGCTCCTCATTAGCCCAGTAGCTGGTATCAGCAAAGCGTCAAAATTAAGAAACATGATTTTTGCCTATTTAAAATAGGTGAAGCCTAGTCACCTAATTATTCGCTAAAAAATTCTTGAATTCAAAATATTTTAGGGATTGCTTGTTTTTAAATTGTAAATTAGTTTAACCTTTGCGTTCACAAAAATCAATTTAATTTACCAAAATCGCCAATTTTTTCGAGTTAAAACGCCCTAATTTGCAGAACAAAGGTTTAATTTCACTTTTTGTAAAGGGAAATTGAATGCAAAAACTCAGTAAAAAGATGCTACCTTTATTTTCAAAAACCTCTGCAGGCAGTCGCTGTCCACAGAGTCGCCATCAGCCGTATCACTTTTCGTGGGGGCGCTCTGGGTTTTTAGCAGATTTCCACGGGAGTTCGATGGCACAGCACCGCCCGGCCCTTTCCGGATGCCGTCCGCTAAAAAACGTTTCATTCTTGCCTTATTAAAAATTAATTAATTTTATTATTGGTCTTGCGATAAAAGAAGAACAAAAATTTAAACTCGGTAAAGGACGAATAAAGATTTTACGCTCTATAATTATAAATTTTCCCACATAATTTATATACAGGGTGTCCCAAAACCCCCCCCCCTCTAGCGGCGCCCAGACGTGTCCGATTCTCGCCGTTTAGGTATCTATCGAAAGCTCTCGAAAAGGCAAGCAAACAAGAAGAGTTCATTTTCTTTATTAAGTATTTTTATTGGCGAATTTTACCTCCAAAATCCATGAAAACGGCAGATTTACGCGAGATCCGCATGCTAATTGCGAAATTCCTAATGAAAAGCTACCTGTTTTTTAGCAAAACGTTGAATGTCGGACGAATCAGAATAAATCTTAGAAAATGAAGCCCGCTTGTTTTCTCGCCTTTTCGCGGGCGTTCGAATTGTATAAAAATAATCCTGATCTGCGCTTCCCACGGACCGCTAGAGGGGGGGTTTTTTTGGGACACCCTGTACATTTTCTTGCGTTTAATAAGCTACATCCGATCTACCACAGATCCATTTAATGAAGATACATTTTGCTTTTTTGACCGCGTAACTAAGATCAAAATCAATCCGTAAACAGAGGTCGGGAAATAGAATGTTTCTCGGGTATAAAGGTGACCTAACTATATAATTTATCTAATAACTGAGTATTTCGGTCTGTCTGATTTTGCTTTTAGTTCAGCTGAATTTAATCTTTTCTTAATTTAATTTAAGAGCTAAATTAAAACTTTTTGGCTTGCGTAATTAGAATAATCATTAAAGCGTAAATAGCAGAGTAAAATGCGACAATTCGATTTAAAAAAAAGGTTTATAAACTTAAAATTTTTAATTTTACTTAGTAAATTAAGGTTTTTAATTAAATGTTTCTAAATCCCAACTACTTACGTGCCGCCTGAGCACCACTGATTCCTGCTGGAAGTAGCGCGGCAGATGCGTCGAAAACGTCATCCGACATCGGGGAAGGCACCAGGATTTTCTGGCCCGGGAACACCTGAAAAATTATTTTATAGAACGTTAAGAAAATCGGTAGAATTTGCATAGGCCTAGCAGGTCAAATTAGCTTAGCAAAAATGTTTAAAAATTAAACTAAAAAAAACTAAAAAACCATTTATGCCGATTAAATAGCCTGAATTTCTGAAAAATTTCATTGATTTTTGCTGATGATTTAGCGTTTTGAATGGCCAAAAATTGTCCCAAAAGAAGGCTGATCGTTGAAACATCTAGTCGGCCCCGGGAAATGGCCAGGTTTTCCAGGGGACGTGTGGGAAAAGCGATATTTCGCAGAAAGAGCAGTCCCCCAGCGGCGGCATCTGGCTGTTTTGACTATCACGAGGGAATGGGGGCGAGAAGCTTTGTTTAAATTTTGGGCGCCGCCATATTTGCGGGCGTGGAATTCGTAAAATGAACGTGGAAAACGATACAAAAAATGTAGCCAATTTAACATTTTAAACAAAATGTTTCGACATTGGGTGGGGGAAATCGCTTTATTGAATTTGGAATCCCGCTCCGGTTCTGTTTTTAGATGTGCAAACCAAAGATTCATGAGGAAATTCGGACCCTGAGAGGAGGGCAGGCTAGCAGAGATTATTGTGGATTTTGGCTCAAAAACCTCACCATTCTGCTGCCCATCCGGTTGAGCTTCATCAGTTCGCCCACCGTGCAGTCATGTGCGGCCGCAATCCGCTCCAGCGAGTCGGTGGGCGTGACCGTGTAGTCCATCTGTAATTACGTCAGGTTATCAAGTTAAGAAAATTTGGTTAAATTAATATATAAAGAAAAAGGCGATAATAAAAACTACTTTCGGAAGCGCTATATCACTACAGCCGACAGAAGTCCACGATGCATTAAAAGTCGAAACAATCAACCCTGCAACTCAATTTTTTGAAACATAAAATTTCGAAAAATTTCAACACTATTTTCCATACGTTAAATAGATTTAAGATCGGCTTTTTTTTCAGGGATTTACGACAATTTCAACCCCTCAAAATATAAGTAGATTTCATGTCGTAATGCATTGGTCGATTCTGTCATGAAATGCCAAGGTATTTGGTCCCAAGTTCTGGCATGCGCTCGTTATGGAATTCTCGAATAGAAAGGCAGCCTCAAGTGGGCTTCTTACGAAACATTTTTTCAGTAAAAAGGAATAAAGAAGGCATGCAGGAAAAGGCAAAAAGAAAAGCCAAAAAATAACTTCTAGTTGTTAGCAAAAAGTACAACGAAATTAACAAACTTTCGTTTAATAAACGTTAAATAAACGTTGAATTTTCGAAAATATAATTTTTTAGGAAACATAAAATCATGTTTCAAGACTCCTCGATGCAAAAATGGAGCTATAGGTGCAATTTCAGATGATCCCCCACCGCCATCACCCCTCCAAAATTTGCACAAATTTTGTGTCGTAATATATTGATCGATTACGTCATGAAATGTCAGGTTATTTGGCCTCGTTTTTTCCTGCGGGTATTGCAAGTTATTCTTGAATAAAAATGCAACCTCAAGTGGCCTTTTTACGAAACATTTGTTTAATAAAAACGAATAAAGAACGAATATAGGAAAAAGAAAAGCAAGAACAAAAAAAATAACTTTATTGACGCCTAACTGTTAGCGAAAAGTACGCGGAAAGTCAGGACGCGATATCGGTAATAGTTAAATTTTCGGGAATGGAAATGTTTATGAAACATACCATTATAATTCTAAACTGAATGCAAAATGGAGTTATAATCACAATTAATTAAACCGTCTAATCTTAAATAAAAGCTTCAAAACCTGAAAATAAATATATTTGTGAAACTAGTAAACAAAAACCCATAACTTTCGGCTAAAAAAATCGATTTTCGACAGATTCTAAAGCCTGAATTTACGTCAAAGCTTATAAATTAAATACAATCATAAATTTCGAGACTGGAAATAGTTATTTTAATGAAATTGGCCATTAGCAAGTTAAACTTTGAGATCCAAAAATGAGTTTTAAATACAATTCTAAAGTCGTAATTTTCAATCCAAGCTTCTAAACCTAATAAAATCGATAAACCTGATAACGTAAGGCGGAAAGTAGCGGAAAATCAGCCAAATCGATCGGGTTTGAAAAGTTTTTGATAGCTTGACCTAAATTGGGCAGAGGGGGCGGATTTGGCCGAAAATGGGGGGGAGGGTGGGGGCGACGCGCGGATACAAATGACACCGAGTGACCAGGGGGAATGCATCACGCGCCGAAATTGGAGAGCCATTCGGTATTAGAAAAAAGATAGCTCTAGTGGAAATTGGGTACTGGTTGCTTAACGGGGGGGGGGGGGTGATATAAAGGTCGACGGAAACAATTTTTCCCATTTTCAAAATTTGCAACGATTTTGAATAATAATACAAAGTCTCGTTTTATCTATCCGATAGATCTTTTGAAAAACTATATTGAGGATATATTAATTATATTTAAACATAATCTTGTTTAGAAATACATAAAATTATTTATATTAACCTATTAAGCATTTTAGTTATATTTCGGCCCCAAATACTATAATTTGAAATTATTGCTTGATTACAGCGCAAATATACATTAATTCACGAGCGTTGAAGATGGGTTTTTTCGGGCTGAAATTACACCTTGTAATCGCGCAATGATTCGGCCAAACTTAATGTGGCGATAAATCCACAAGTGAGCTGCTGTTGCCTCGAAACATTTTTTTTTGGTTCAATAATTCCCAACCTGTGTTTAATGAAAAAAAATATATTTCCTGGTGGGGTTCTTTCGCATTATCGGGAGGGGGGGGGGGGGGTCAAAAATCAACCAGAAAAACGATCTACAAAGTTTTCAAATAGACGAAATTTTGGTACTAAACCGGCCATTTTTGGTCGAAAAATCGATACATTTGGCATTTTGTAATAAGCTTTTGTATAGTCTGAAGCTTAGGAATAGCAAAAAATTATTTAGAAACAATTCCGCGATTTTTATTTGGAAAATAAGAGCCGGTCAAAAAAAAAGGAGTGAATCAATTCATGGAAAAACGTGGAATCAGATAAATGCATGAAACATTTTTTTTAAATGGTCGAGATAAAAAGTGTAAATAAATAAATCTAATTCATTAAAACCTGCGCCAAAACGGTCATGTTTATTTTGAGGCATATTTGGAAACTTTGGAGAGGAAGATAGGAAGTATAACCGAAATCTTAATTATCTGCCGCCCAATTTGCCGGTTTATTTATGTTTCCGAAACACTTTTTTACAAAAATTTGCGTTTTACTCGTTAAAGCAGGACTTCGAGGTCACCCCTCCGCGGGATGGGTAAAATATCGAGTTTAGGAAGGCTGAGGGGGGATGCGGGCCATTTTGGATGGGGTGAAGGGGGGCTAGAAGCGCGTCGCCCTCCCGCACGGCTTCCCCCCCTTCCCTTCAGGGCATACGACCACACACACGCAAAAAAAGAGAGAGCCACCCAAAAAAGCGGCAGAAGATTTGGGCTCTCGCTTAAAGGGCACCCGGCCAACCCTCTTTTGGAAGAGAGAGAGAGAAAGAGAAAGAGAGAGAGAGAGAGAGAGCGAGGGACAGAGAAAGAGAAATCGATGTGTGTGACCACACACTCACTCACTCCCATCCCCAAAAAACGCATAAAAACTGACAACAAATGGACAGCCTTGAGGTTTGTGTATTGTTTGAGGAAATGGACGGACCCCCTGGGGAGGGCAGACTGGCAGAGATTCTCAGTTTCTTAAAAAGCCACGCATTTAAGCATCCTACAATTTTTAACGAAGTTTCTAGAAATCCTGGATTTCAAAATATGCTGAACTACAAACTACGTGAAAATCCGCCCAAGACCACAGTCCTTTTTGGGTAATTTTTTGGAGGGGTTCTCCTCCGGAGGGCTTATCTGTTGTTTGGGTCCTGCCGCGAATCAATCTCGGCTCCTTTCCTTATGATTTCTCTCTCTCTCTCTCTCTCTCTCTCTCTCTCTCTCTCTCTTTCTCGCTCTCTCTCATTTTCTATGGCCCGAAAGGAGGGGGAGTGACCCGGAGGGGGGCTAACTAAAAACAACTCGTTCTCCCAGCCCGGGAGCCAGGCTGGGAACGCTGGAAAATAATAATAACGCTTGGTTTTGCCCTGCATTGTCAATATCCCGCCGTTCCAAACCCTAAAATTTCTTGAAACATACTTTTTCCCGACAAAAATTAGATTTGTGAATTATACAGGTGTGCAAAAAAACCCTCCCCCCCTAACCTAGAGGTCCTCAGCCGTGGCGGGTTTTTATGATTTAGGTATCTATCAAAACAGCATAGGAGTAGGGGAAATAGAGAATTTCCGATGCCGGTAAAAAACGGTTTTCTTAGAAAATCACATTTTATGAATTTTCACACCTTTTCTGGCACCCCAACGACGGCTGGGATCGCGCCGAAGCCGATTAAAGTGATTTTTCAAAGACGTGCAAGTTTTGCATAAAACTTCCGAAAATCGGATGAAAAATTCGAGAATTTCGAAAGCCGGAAAGGATATATCTCCTCAGCTGGTGGAGAGCTATCGATAGATACCTAAATCATGGAAAACGGACACGGCCGCGGACCTCTAGGTAGGGTATTTTGGCAAAGCCTGTATAATTGCAGAATTTAAATTTTTTGGAAAATTTTAAGTTTTAAAAAACCGAGGTTTAGGTTTTATTAGCCTAACATCAAAATAGGAAAAAAGTTCCCGGAAAACTGGTCGGCCATCCAGTCGATAGGCGTATAAGCGGGAGGCGCGCGCAGTGTGGTCAGCCACCCCACTGGACCCCGGGTGAAACTTTTTTCATTATTTTCGGGGAGTGAGAGACAGACAGAGAGAGAGAGAGAGAGAGAGAGAGACAGACAGACAGACAGACAGACAGATGGCACAATTGCGTGACACAGAGCAAACTCTGCACTGCCGATCGGACAGCTGATCTCAAAGTTATCACTCATTTTTTTGAGAGAGAAAGAGAGAGCGAGAGAGCGAGAGAGAGAGAGAGAGAGCAAGAGCGAGAGGGCGAGAGAGAAAGAGAGATAGAGAAAGATATCTTAAGAAACATACAGGTATTCATAAACACTTTGTTTGCGCTCAATTATCAAAAGTTTTGATTCCAAACCAAATCCGCTAAAAATTCAATGTTTCGCTGGTCTTTACATAAGATAGCTCTGTGGTCTACGATAATTTCCAACTCAGGACTTGGCGAACAAAATCATGCACCTATGAAATTTTCCTGATCTTTGTAAACCGATGAAAACATCCAAAAATCAATAAAAATTCGTTTTTAATGGCACCAAAAATCAACACAACTGCTAGAATGCTTTTATGTTTCATTAAGCGTTAAAATAAATCCACATGATAATTTTTGGGTAAGACTATACTTTACCCCTTCCTCCACAGCCGACGGGTCTCAAAGTTTACGGTATTTTCGCTTATTTTGTCGGGATTTTTGCAACGCCATTCGATAGAACGGCGAAAAATATACTAATAGTTTTAATGTGAGCCTACAATAATGTAAAATAAAAAATTTATCCAAAAACTTCCAGAAGTACAATAAACTCCAAGGTACGAAAAAGCAACAAAAACACCGAATCCTCAAAAAATGACGTCCAGAAATCTAATGTTTCACCCGTGTTCAAGGAAAAAAGCACAGGCTATGTGTTTACTATGCATGCGGACAAGAGCTCACTTTACCCGCGCCCTCCCCCCTTCCCCCCCAGCCGGGAGGTCCCAAAATTTTTTTTAAAGCCACGAA